CAGGTGGTACTTTAACACCAAAATCAGAAATAAGGACTTTGAAGTGGGCGACCTGGTTTTGAGAAAAGTCGTCTAAGGTATCCAAAACCCAAACTTGGGGGCACTGGGACTTAGGTGGGAAGGTTCTTTTAGAATTTCTGAAAAGCTCACCCCAGGATCTTTCCACCTAGAATGCCTCAATGACGGAGTGATAATGCGAGCTTGGAATGCCGAGCATTTGTGAAGGTATTACCAATAAGTAGCTCGGGTTCTATTTATTTCTGTCAACTATGTTCGTTGTAAGGTTGTTTACGACCAAAACACTTTATCAATAAGAGAGGTATTATTCAGTACTTGCTTTGTTCATAATTTACATTTTAGAATTCGTCGACAATTAAGTACCAATTGATAAATCATGACCTACATGATAAAATTAAAAAAAAAAAAACTCGAAGTCAAGAGTTTTGGAAAGGCAGCTTACATAGAAAAAGCCACGCCAAAATCCAACTCTTTGAGGATAAAATATCCTAAATCGACGAAGTTAAACTTGAGTTTTAAATCAAGGAAAAAACATGTCAAAGGAAATCGGCTCTAAGCCGGTGACCAAAGAACTCGAAAGGGACAGTAAAGTCTACAATCGAAGTTTATCGTCGAATCAGATTTCCTCGTATAATTCAGGGTTGAAAATCTCATGTCGACGAAGTTAAACTTGGAAATTTTCAAGAAAAAGCACATCATAAAAAATCGGCCCTAAGCCGGCGATGAAGGCTCGAAGAGGACGACAAGTCCAAAATCGATGCCAAACATCGCATAAAGGTTTTTTCACAAAAAATCCGAAAAGCTCCCAGAGAAGCGAACTACGCATGACTTGAAGCAAAATTCGAAAAGTCCGATTAAGACAAATTAAATGACTCCGCATAAACCATTGCTCGAACAAGAGACATTTAAAAAGGTTATTTCATTGACCAAAAGGTTTGATTACATTCAGACAATATATATATATATATAAACAACAAAACAAGAAAAAGACTAAGGGTCTTTAGGTCAATAGGGGAGCAGGGTTTTCGTCCTCAACTTCATGTCCGGAAACCTCGCTTGGAAGGACTATGGTCTGACGATCCGAGTCTTCGACCTCCAGCTAGGGACCAACCTCCTTGCCACCTTCTACGACCTCTTCCTGGCCCTCGTTGGCATCCCCAGAGTCATCCGAGTACACATAGGTCATCCCTTGGGCCTCGACCTTCATCCTTTCGACCTCCTTTTGATAGGCACGCGGGAAGAAGGAAAAGTCGATTGTCGGATGAGCCTCCCACAACCTCTGCACGAGGAAGACCAATGTTTCCTAGGATTGGGTGGTGACGGCTTCGTCCAGGTCCTCAATCCTGAGCCTGAGTTGCTCGGCCTCAGCTTCGACATTTTGGCGACCTACCGTTTCTTGGGTGAGGTTGAGCAAAGCCTGCTTAAACTTGGCCTCCCAGCTCATTGCTGCTTTTTGGGTCGAAGAGAGCTTGGAGTTTAGCTTGTTGTTGGCTCCTCGCTGGTGAGCCAAACTCTGATCGGCCTCTGCTGCCTTGACTTCAGCCTTGTTTCGAGCAGCCTTGCTCGCCTAGAGTTTGTTGAGAAACTCCCTTTCCTTGACTCCCAAAGGCCGCAATTTCCTCCTGAGGCGTTCAAGCCCGGCTTGCCTTGCCTCATTCTCTTTCTCCGCTACCTCGGCTCTAGCCAAGGCGTCCTCCTTTACCGTCTTTGCGAGCAACCATCCCTTGTGAGTTCCCTCCAAGGTTTGACCGCATTCTTCATACAAGAGTCAGCTCACCATGGCAGCCTGAAAACTTGCAAGAAAGTCTACCACGACAACGAAAGAGTAGTGGCAAGAGAAAAGCAAGAAGGTGGAAGAATTCTCAGAATAGTTGTTCTGAATATTCGCCACCTTTTATGGTGGTTTTTGCATGGAAGACGAAAGAGCGAAGTTCAATCTCGACCATTGAATCACAATCAATCCTAGCCCTTCATTCGTCAAGCGATCCCAGCCCTTGGACATGGTCACGTGTCGACCATCCACGAGGTGTGACAAACCATTAGAAATGATAACCGTCGCCGCAAGACATCTCAACTTTGCACGTGAATAGCTGTCATCGACCACGCACGATGAAACTTAACTGATAAAGGTTGCTACATTTAATGCGATACGACCATGCAGAAATTACATGTATACCCTGACTTTTTGTATTCTGAATTTTGACAGGTAACGCAGGTAATAATGTCCAAGTGTGAAGAACGTTGACCAGACGTAAGATCGACCATGGAAGCCCGATCGAGCATACTCTCAGAGACTCACTACTAAAGCCGAGCTTGGTGTTAGATCGAGCGATAGTCTCTGAAGCCCGAAACAAGCATCGAACAGTAGGGGACAGATGTTGTGTGTGGTTTTTCCACCAAGCTCGGGTCGACGCGAGGATATAGCTCGACCCAGAATGACCTCGGTGACTATGATTGATCAACCCAGCATAAGCTCATTGAGCCATAGCTCGACCCAGCACAAGCTAGTTGCGGAGAACCCGAATGATCATTCAATCAATTCCCAGATAACTTCAAATCCTAGATATTACGGGAATGATCAGATTAACAACAATCTTTGCGTAATTTTATGTAAATCTTGTATATATATCCACTAAAACGATGAGAAAAGGGATACCAAATTCTAGTTTAGAAATTATATTGTAAGCTTTCACGGCAAATAAGTAGAACACAGTGGATGTAGGCTATTAATCTTCGCCGAATCACTTTAAAAGTCCTTATTGGCATTTATTTTCTAGCATTTTCGCTTACTCATAGCTGATTATTCATAATCACGCACACATCCGTTTCGATCCCGACAAGTGGATCGGATCTCGCTGGTTGGTGCAGATTTCTGTATCAACACATGGCTTTATGAAATTTTACCTTTTATATATAGTGTCATTTTGGCTTTATTCTTTACGTTTAATAATTTTTAGAAGATAACAACACACGATTGCCATATAATTTAATATTTATTTTTCCTACGGCCCGACATTGCCCACCACTTCCAATTTTTTTTTTTTCAAAATTTTTATTTAAAAATTTTATTATTATGTATTTGAATTCTTTTAAACATTTAAATAATTTAATATTTTAAATAATCATATTTTATTAAATAATTAATTGAATATTTAATACAATGTTGCACCAAATACACGATAATATTAAATTTAATCAAATCCTGTTTTACCCAATTCACTCTAATTTTGAGAATCTTGACAATAATAACAAAATAAATAAATAAAAAGATCCGGCTATTTTAAGTAGTAGGGCTTCATATTTGATATTTATTTGTATTTGGATCAAACTTGCAATAATAGATGAAAGAAAAAAAAAATTGGAGTTTCTTGGAAAATTTTTTCATATCACAGGATGTTTTGATTGAAAGATTTTAAACCTAATTAATAAAACTTGACTATTTAATCTTTAAATTACACATAACATGAGATGGTCGAAAAGTAAATTTTTTGAACCCTTTTGCAAGGTGAAATTCGGTCTACTTATAATAAAACTTTTCCCAAGTTTAATAGAACAAAAACAAAATTAAGTAGCAAACGAGTAATACAACAGTTTCTAGCTGATAAACCATGTTTGAGGTGAATCGATGCGAAGTCCATTTGACTGGGCCAGGAAACAAGCAGCGGCTCAATAATTCAGTTTTAAATTAGAAAAAAGGCATTATTTTTCACCTTATTTTCTTTGGGTTGTCTTTATTTCTTTATTTATGGAATTGCTTGTTTACTTTGGTCATCGATCTCTTATTTTATTTGGAGTGTCGTGGGAATAATACCGAGCTTTTCAACTGGAGGTATAGGAAATGATTTATTGACGACAATAATACTATACTTACAAAGATTTCTATACAAAGTGAGGTGGTAAAAAATGAATGGAAGAGTGAAACAAAAAGTCAAACTCATTAAATTCATTCTTCCATTCATTTTTTGCCACATCACTTTGTATAGAGATCTTTGTAAAATTTATTTGTAAGTGTAGTATTACTCTATTGACGATGCCTCATTTCGGTAAATAAAATCTACAAACGATTACTGATTTAGACAAAACCTCCGGGTTCAATTTCAATCTTCAACCTCCATTTTATGTTTTAAACTCACTTAACTAATTTCGTTAATCTTTGGTGGGAAAATTCTAAAATACTGGAGTCTGGAAGTAGAAATTGATTTTGGAACAATTAGAAGCTTGTTTGTGAATCAAAAAACCCAAGATCAGGCTCAAGTTTGAAGCTTGAAATTACTTTTGATTAGTGGAGTGGTTTGATAGAGACTCTTAGATGTATTACTCGAGAGATCTTGATTTTGAGTCTCTTTTTTATTGCTAATAGGGATAGTCATTAGAATTCTTATCTGACTGGTAATTCTAGGTTCTTGGGAGATTACTTTTAAAGTACACGTAAAATTGACCCAAACACCCAAGTCATTAAAAAACAAACAAAAATTTGAAGCTTGATTAGAACATCGGGCAGTGACGATTAAAGTAGATATATAAGTGAAACTTGAATGCAAATAATTTAATTTAAGCATGTGGTATCATGCATGTTTTGACATTACTTATTACAAGTCAGCAAAGCTCTGAATAGGAGAGAGCTTTTTCACCCAATGCTTTGAGTGTTGTGCAATGCTTTTATTAAATTTTACTTTTCTTATAGAAAAGAAATGGCAACGGTAAGTTTTTAATGGGTTTAGCCGTTTAGCAATCAGTAAAGATATGGAGCAAAAGGTTGGCTTTGGTAAAGCAACGGTTGGATTGCGCAAAATCAAAACTATTGTTGTCTCTCCGTACTTGTCTTTTCCAGAGTTATCATTGAATTTCTCCTATACCAATAAGTTGCTGTACTTACTCCGCGTGTGCCAAGAATTATGTTTGTCTCAGGTACGGCAATTGCCACTGTAACTCGCCGGAAAAGTGAATGCAAACTGTACGTCTTTGACATTATCCGGTGGAACTAAATGTTTAACTGGCTATTACAAAAGAACTAATTAAAACCCCATTCCATTTGAACAAGAAAGATGGGTTCATGAGTATCATAAAGAACAATAAATATGATTCAGCTTAGTGAAACCACTACTATTTTACACTAAAGTCTATGATATTCTAATTCACAAATAAAAATACACGTGATTTAGTAGAAGAAATATTCTTTTATCTCCATTTTGATCACTTCTTTGTTTCTTCTGCCGCTGGCTTGGACTCCTCAGGAGGTGGAGGTGGAGGCGGTGCTGCTGCAGCTGGGACTCCACCGTCAATGCAACTCCGGCACTTTTTTTCAACCCAACCTTCAATGTCATTCTCTCCATTGCCACCAAAATGTCTTCCACCGCAAAGCCTAGCAATGATCCCTGCAATAACGCCTATGATGGTAATCACTGCTAGCACGACCACAAGTGTTTCAATCGATCTGTGACTGTAACGGCTCGCCTCTGCTCCTGCATGCGCTGTCTCTACTACCGGCGGCGTCATCTCATCTTTTAAGCTTGCCTTTAAAGTACCCATATGAAGGTTGCCGAAAAATAAATGCTGAAAGAGAGTTGAAACTACAATAAAAGGATGTTTCTAGAAGAGGAAAAATACAACTTGAGAGTGAAAAGAACAGAGAAATAATGGGTAGAAAAGAGAATGTGTTTGTGTTAAGAGGTGAGGAGACAGATTGAGGCTGCAAGAAGCAAAAAAAAAAAAAAACTAAGGGTAAATGACAGAAATGAGTTGAACACTAAAAGATTGAGTGTATCAAGAGAATGAGAAGATCATGAGAGTAAGAGAGAATGGAAGAATGTTTATATGAGCTTGAAGCAATAAAATGAAGCCAGTTTGCAAAATAATATGGAGAGGGAGAGAGAGATTTTAGCTTTGTTAAAAAGGTGGGAGAAACTTAAATAGGATTCCACTATTGAAAATGTATTTCATTTCTACTTTTGGGCCTTTGGCACCTTTGCATCTTTGTAATGTATGAGTATTTTTCACTTCTGTAATCTGTCTTTTGATATCTACTTTGGATTATTTTTATTGATTTAAGTTGGTGTGAATTTTGAGGTGAAAAAGAAATTAAGGAGTAGGCAAAGATTATTTTATTATATAAATGGTGAAAGGGTGCTTTTATTGGACGAGTCAGACTGAACCCAGGTGAAAAATCTTTGATTTCTTTTCCCTATTTGTCCTTAGTGATATCACATGTTAATGTCCCAAGAACCAAACTTAATATTTACGTATTCCTTTTTGAAACTACCCCACTTTGTCACTAGTCGTTTGCCATTATCCTGTCTCTTAGAAATGTGAGAACTTCAATCCCTCTCTCTCTCTCTCTCTCTCTCTCTCTCTCTCTCCATCTATCCCTATGTGACCACTCACAAGTTGGCTTTTTTGTCAATTAGTAAGCGAAATTGATAAGTATAAATGACCTAAATGAGTCATTTGGCTCATCCACTGACCTTTCATGGTGAACTTTCAGAAAGCAAGTCCTGACCACTCTGCCTGCACTGCACCATTTCGAGACTGTCGACGACCTGGAAACTTGCTTAAAATTTCATGTTTTTACTGAACAAAATCAGTAGATATTCAGGATACTAATCACCTGGTAGCTATTTAGTTAATGTCCTTAATGTTAAACAAATATTATTCTAAATTTTTAACAATCTGACAGCATTGTGTGGCCAGAAAATTTAATGGGTCTGTATGGAAAAGTACTTTCAGGAAGGCACAGTTTTGGGTATGACAATGAACATACAGGATGCTTAAATGCGCGTCAATTCATCGTTTCTGACAATTCAAGAGTTGGAAAAATATGTTTGAATTAATATTGGCAATTTAACGCACAGATTAGATGAGTAATGTTTTGATTTTCGCACAGGACTTTGATTTGCAGTTGAATGTTGAATGCAGCCCTGAGAAATTTGTATACATAGAGGAATCAAAATTATGGAGTTGATGAAGATTTTAGAATAATACAGACATAACTTCGATTTCCAATGCACATATAACATCGATTTACTTTTTTAATATTCAATCTTTTGGGATAGCTGATGAAAACACAGTTAAGTATTGCCTTGAGAAAGGGTATAGATTGCAGAGATTACCTATTTTATATTCTTAATTTTTAAATTAGGATGGTGGAGATATAAGAGAGAATGAAAAAGGAAGAAGATAATATTAGTGGGTTATTCATTAAAATTTTGAGAAATAAAGTTCAAATTTGGGCAGCCAGATGATGGGCCCGGGTGATGAGTCTTCAGTGTTGTTATACAGACAGACTGAGGGCATTGAGTCATGTAGGTAAGAGGATAACTTACTTTTTAATTTGGGCTTTTGTTGGGCTTAGACATATAGGAAATTAGGAATATATTAAGAAGGTAGTGTACTTAATACAGATATGTAGTGGATTTAGTACACTACTAGGAAATTTTGAAATTAGGCCTCATCAACTTTTAGTTTAAGTTACTACACAAACTAATGCTTCTCTATTAATATCAATATTTAATAATATTTAATATGTTTTTTGTAATATCTTTGCTAATAATAATTTCTTAAATAATTTATATAGCCAAAAAAAAAATATAGTTAAAATATTTTAATTAATTTTTTAGTACACATAATTTAGTTTTATATTTAAAATTACAAATATTATATTCGATGATAAATATTTATATTCACAGTATGAAAAAAAATATTTAAACTATTAAATCAGATTAAAATTAATGTTTAAATAATTAATTTATCTCCCATTCAAGTTTCTTTTAATTAATTACTACATAAATATTGTAATTATTTATATAAAATAATTTTAAATAATTATTATTAAAATTAAGATTATGAAAATAGTATAGACAATTTTATAATATAAAAATAAATATTAAATTAGTTTTAAATTTTTTTTTTTAAATTTAATACAAATAGGTTTGTTGGCAGACTCCGGTGATGATAAGAGTTCTGATCGATTCCTCGGGGGCATTAGCCACCTTGCTTAACTCGGAATTAAATCATTCTAAGTAGGATTTCAATGTCTTGTCTTGTTCTTGGCGAATGTTGCTCAGATAGCTCAATGGCATCGAAAATTTTCTATTCACCTGTAAATGTCTAAGAAACAACGAATTCATTTGTTTCCAAGATGAAATCGATTCAGCGGGCAACAATATGAACCATCTCTTCGCTCCTGCAACTAATGTAACAACCAAACAACAGTATTTGGTTGAATCTTGGACCTGATGTGACTTGATGTAGTTCCATCAGGTTGTTAAAAACATCGAAGTGGTCTTGGGGATCACCTTTCCCATCAAAGGACTTCACATCAAGCATCTTGAATCGTGATAGGAGAGGTACGTGAAACCTAGTTAGTAAATATGAGTACGATAAAAAAAGGGTACGAGAATTTTATAGGTATGATAGAGCAAATGGTGAAAAATATGTTTGTAAAAATTCGGTTATAAAATTCGAATACGGGAAAAACACAGTATGGGTATATACAGGTTTAATACGACACATTGTCAATAATACGTTTTAAAAAATACGGTAATATCAATCCTAGTTTTAACATTTTTCATGGACCACTTAGTTAAAATCAATATAGCATTTCAAATGCAAATTATCCAATTAATCAATAACCATTAGACCTAATAATATAACACAAATACACAATATATAACTGAGATTCAAATTATAGTCTCCAAACTCAAACACAATATATAGTCAAGGTTCAATTATAGTCTCAAACCAAACACATAACAAAACTAAAGTTTAAAGTCGAACTAGAGCTCCAAACAAATAAAANTAATATGTATGAATGTTTAATTTTTATTTGGATATGTATTGTTTATGTTTGCAATTTAATTTAAGAAAAAAATTTTAAAAAAAAGTTTTATCTAATAAAATAGGGGAAAACCAGTTCAAAAACCGGTTTTCCCCAAAAATTGGTTCAGTTTCGGTTTGGGAATTTTCCTGAACTAAAAAACCAGTTCGATTAACCGCTTTTGAACACCCCTATGTACCACCTAGTTAAAATCAATATAACATTTCAAATGCAAAGTATTCAATTAACCAATAACCATTAGATCTAATAATATAACACAAATACACAATATATAACTGAGATTCAAATTATAGTCTCCATACTCAAACACAATATATAGCCAAGATTCAATTATAATTTCAAACCAAACACATAATAAAACCAAAATTCAAAATCAAATTAGAGCTTCAAATAAATAAAATACACAAATAATACAACCAATATTCAAATTATAGTATATAACCGTAATTAAAAATAGAAGTCTTGGACTTGAAGCTTGGAGAAGAGAGTGAAAAGAGAAGATCAAGAGTCAAGAGTCAAGAGATGAAGAAAAGAGAGTTAAACAGATGAAGAACTGTTAAAGAGTTGAAGAAGAGACGAAGAACTGTGGAAAAGAACTAAGGAATAAGAGAATGAGAAAATCTTTTAATTTTAATCAAACCCCACCCAAAACGACGTCCTTTTGGCTTTTCACTTAATGATTTTTTTGCTTGCAATAGTTTGGAAATAATTCGCGAATTATACGGCAACCTTGATAAAATACGTAAATTCGCGTATAACTAACTAGGCTAATTACTAAGGTGACATCATTTTAAGAATTAATTTTTTAAATAAGAGTTTTTAATGATGTTAATTTTGATATATATTATTACTAAATAATGTAACCTTGATATAATAATATGAAAAATAATTATACATGAAATAAGACAAATAATTATCTATACGTGAACTAAATATCATGTTTAAATGTCTCGTATCGTATTAACTTTTTGGTTTAAAAGCCCAAAATTGCAAATGTGAAAATATAGAATATATATTGATAATATTTTGCTTCGACGCCAAATAATAGGATAATATGATAAATGATAAGATAATACGACAAAAAATGATAACCAACAAGGATAAGAAATGGAGGACGCTAATAAATATATATAGCATTACCCTAATTATATAATGCATGTCCATTGAATTCTTGTAGCTTTAAACATAATAGCGTTTGATTCAATTTTGTAAATAATTTGAAGTGCGTTTAATAAATTTTAATTTTAAAGTTGTTGTAAGGTTTCACAACTATAAATTTATGTTTGATAAATTTAAAGTATTGTTATATGTATAATGACAAATTATTTTTTAAAGTATTTTTATATATAACAAATTGGACAGTCGTGTTGGCCAAATCATTGTCTTAAGACTTACGTGGTGCGTTTGGTGACGTTAATGCCGATATTGCCAAGGTCAGCTCACTTCACAACCCTAGTGAAATCCTTGACGATATTATTGGGGCACATAAATTCGCTCACATGAATTCCGCCGACATGGAAGTGGTCCAATTTTTTAAAATTTATAAGAAAATTATCTAAATAATTTGATTCAATTAATTAATTTTAATATAAAATTATTTTGTAATTTGAAGTATTATATAAAAGAATATTTGTAATTATACATTTACAAAAACAACTTACAAATAATATGGTTTTTAAAAGGCACCTATGACAACTTTTTAAATTCTTTATAAAACATTTTAAATTGTTTTATGAAACTGACTACTTTATGATCAATATCAAACTTACCTCAAGCCAAAAGTTATAGACACAAAGACGAAAGTTTTTAAACAGATTTTCAAAAGTTCAAGT